TTGCTCCAGCACCCAGCTGGAAAGCAGTAGAACCAGGATTTGAGCACAGGCTGTCTCCAGAATCCACTTGTTGCCATACTCTGAAATACATTTCCGGTGAGCCTCTTCATGGAAAGGGACAGACAGGGCTGATAGTTGCTCCTTAGCAAGTCTTGAAGAAGGTCTGAAAGATGGAAAGGCAGGTAGACTAAGCGACAAGAAAAGACTCGCCCTTTGGGAAAAGAGAGGTAGAGTGGACGGGGCATTTCCCTCTGCCCCTCCAGATCTGCTCTCCGCTCTTATCCACCCAGCTCTGTACTCCAGAAAGCTGACATGTGAAGGGCAACAAGTTTCTCTCCTGTCCTCTGGCTTCTGGTTAGATTTGGCCAACAGGAGGAGCGTGCGGGAGTTTGCGGGGAGGCCTCGAGTGCCCGCCTTGGTGAGTTGTCGTGGGTTGGTTGCATCCTCTCTGGAAGGTCAGAGCTCCTGCCTGGCAGCCCTGTCTGTGGAGCTACCTTCTCCAGGGCCTGGTAATCACTATCCACCCCTGCCCCTGAAGTCCAAGGTGCGGTAGTCAGTCGTAGAGGTATTGTAACATCCCTCAGGGACTCCCTAGCCCTGCCATGGTCTTTTCTTAAACTCCCTTCTCTTGTTTGAATGTATCAATTGCCTTCTGCTGTGACCTTGGGCAGATCTTAAGGTTTGCCTACCATGTCCAGGAACCTTTCCTAGAGGTTGGGGAGAAGGAAGATCTCAAAAGTAGCCCTGCTCAGTGTCACTCATATTATCTTCTCATTCTGCCCCTAGTGGTCTTGAGCCAGCTCTCATGGAGAGAGGAAGCAAGGCTCCAAAAAAAACCAAATGCTATATCACCAAAGTCACCTTGTTTTTGTGATGAAACAAAACAAGAGGTGGCTCAGTGGCCAAATGGAGGATCATAATAGCTAGCTGCCTGACAAGGCCAAGGGGCCCTAGATAAGGACGACAACATTGATTGGGCTGCTATGCCAGCTCTTCTGTTATAAAACACTCTCAACCAGAGAATCCCGCCATTGTGACCAATTTCCCATGACTGTGCTCTCAATTGATGTGACTCTGAGGAAACTAACATTGTATACATTATGCTATTGAAAGTAATTGTAAATTTGTGAAATGTTCAGAAGCAAAATAGCTTCTTTATGTGTACTGATAAGGAAAATGGGTTATAGACAGCTGAGAATTAGTCAAAATTCTGGTGAACCAGAATTAACAGTCTGAGAAGAAGGAAAACTAGGCAGTTGGTGTTGTGGTAGTCAAGAATTTAGGTGCCTTTTGTTGGTAATGAATCCCCACATAACTCCTGTGAAGAAAGTTAACACCAGTCGTCTCACTGAGCTCCAGAGCTGAAGCACAAAGAGGATAGGGATCCCCCAACTCTACCAGGAAATCCTCAACTCGGTCTCACTCATGTTCACAGGCCAGGGGTCAGCACACTCTAGCCAGCAGGCCAAATCTGGCCCTCTACTTTTATAAATAAAGTTTTATTGGAACATAGCCATGCCCATTGTTTTGCATATTGTCTATGGCTGCTTTCCACACTACAATGTCAGCATTAAGTAGCTGCAACAGAGACCATATGGCCCACAAAGTCTAAGATGTTGCTATCTAGCCCTTTAGATAAAAAGTTTGCTAACCCCTGGTCTAGGCTATCAACAGATATTTTTCCTGTTTTTCTTAAAATTTTATCACAAAATGCCGTGCTCTAACTTTCCATTTCTTCCTTTGCCTCCTTACACTCTATGCATACAGACAGTCTATGTAATCCTGGATTACCCAACTCAGAGATAGCAGGACGGAAAAGGACAAGGCCCAAACAGCAGCCAGGAAATGTGAGTTCATCTGGTTCAAAGGAAAATCGTTTTGCTTTTTCTTAGCTTTTGTTGGATTTCAATAATCCCTTCAAGATCTAAAATTACGAGTGTGGAGAGTCTAAAGAGTATGACCCTTGAAAATAGCTAATGTTATATATTAAGAGAAAATAATTAACATAACCTATTTTTTAAAAAAATCACCAATAGCAATAGGATAATTGTCTCAAAACTGCCCTTTTCCAGATTAATCTTCCAAAATTCATATTTTAAGCATACCAATCTCTTACCTAAGGCTTTCAAACATTTCAAATTCACCATCATTCCTGCCCAGTGGTCTGGAATCATAGTTATCATATGGATAAAAATCACCATAAAAAAGCAAATTTCAGAAAGAGACTTGCATTATGATAACACTGATGTAAAATTTTAAAATATGAAAGCTAACGTTACATACTTTTTTAGAGAGATATATATACACATAAAAGGATGTGCATGGGAAAGATAAACACAGGATTCCAGAAAGGGGCATTTCTGGTTGGGGAAGAAAAACGAATATGATCTGGGATGAATACATGGGCAACTTCAACTGCAATCTGTAACTTTTTTTCCTTATGTTTGATGGTGGATACACAGATATTTGTTTATTTACTTAAACTTTTTGTGTGTCTGAGATATTTCTTTAAGAAAAAAGTATAAAATGATCACTCTGGCCGTCTACTAATCTTTCTGGTATCATTTCCCAGCACCCTCTACGTCAGCCAAGCTGGTCTGCAAGCCTAAGCTGACTCTGATATCCATCTTCAGTATGCATTTTTTGGCAGTTTTCTTCACATTGTTGCCTCATCTGCAGCCTTTTTTACCTTGTCCTCTTCTTATCCCTAATGTCCCACTTATTCCATGCCCTTTCCAGGACACAGTGATCTTTCTCTTCTTTGAGAAACTATGATGCTTGTTTTCTAAGACAACATTCAGTTCCTAGCAATGAAGCTGTTTATTTATTTTTTTTTCTTGCACCCAGATCGTAAACGCTTCAAGAACAAGGACTCTGTGTTATACATGTCTATAACCCCAATAGTGCCTTTCAGACAGCAAGGAACTATAATTTGAAATTTATAATTTGAAAAGTGTTTAAAAATATCATCAGAATGTGGCTTTTCCCATTTCTCTTTGTTCAGTGGGTTTGATCCATCTAAGGCTCTGAAGTCGCAGACATCCAGAGAAGCCCACTGTTGCTTGTGATCCTTAGGAGGTGATCTCTTGAGGCAATAGTCCCAGTGTAGAAGCAGCTCCCTGGGGTCGCCTGGCTTGTCTTGTGTCCTTCTGGTCTTTCTCCTTCTGAAACAAAATCTACCTAGAGAACAGTGACAGTGCTGAAGATGGCATAGGAAGCACCGGGAATCCGTCCCCCTACCTCGTCAACAACTGTACTGACAAAACTGTAAAGTGACTATTTTGGAACTCTGGAGTCTATTTGAATGCTTACAGCTTCCAGGGGAAAGCTTGGCTGGTAAATTGTATTAATATCTTGATTTAAACCTTCAGCTCTGTAGTGGCTACCCATGCCCCACATTCAGCCCCATGGCAGGCAGCTGTGGGCACAGCAACCTGCATTCCTGGTGTGACTTGCTGGAGCCAAAGTGGGCAATAAGGATTTTGTCCTCCAAATATGAGATTTCTATGTTCTGATTATGGATGGCTGCTACTAATTGCTGAGATGCAGACACAGAGGCTGGCTGCCATTGTTTCAATCCTCACTGGATTAAGTGGCTTCCAGGGGATTTAAAGGAACTACAACTGCCTTTTGTTTTTGTAGAAGGGGGCTGGGGAGCATTAAAAACATCCACATATATGGGAGAATTTATAAATCCACTTCACATGCCCAGGGAAAGATACAGGCTCAAAAAAACTGAGAAGACCATAAGTGTTCACCTCGGGCTGATCCCAGACATAGAGACATCCCATAGCAGTTAAAAAAAAACAGTATCTGATTTCCAGGGTTACCACATTAGAAAATTCAAATATCCAGTTTTCAACAAAAAATTCACTAGGTATATAAACACCAGGCCCATTCAAAGGAATAAAATAAATTGACAAAAAATGTACCTAATGAAGCCCAGATGTCAGATTTACTAGACAAAAATTTTAAAACAAGTCCTAAAAAGAGCTAAAAGAAGACTTTGACAAAGGCAGGACAACAATGTATGAACAAAATGAGAACATAAATAAAAAGAAATTATAAAAAGAAACCAGAAAGGAATTCTAGTGCTGAAAAGTACAATAACTGAAATGAACAATGTCCTAGAGTGGTTCAAAAGTAGATTTTAGCAAGCAGAAGAAGGAATCAGCAAACTGGAAGAGGGGACAATTGAAATCATTGAATCTGAGGAATAAGAATAAAAAGAATAAAGAAAAATGAATAGAGTCTAAGGGATTTGTGGAATGCCATCAAAAAGACTAGCATAAGCACTGTGAGAATCCCAGAAGATGAGAGAGACAAAGGGGCAGAAAGAATATTTGAATAAATAATGGCTGAAAACTTTCCAAATTTGAGAAGATCGATGAATGCTAGGTGAGAGAAACACAAACTGACTCACACCAAGACAAACTGTCAAAGGCAAAGGACAAAAAGAGAATCTCGAAAACAGCAACAGAAAAGTGACTTGTCACATATAAGGGATACTTACTAAGATTATCAGTCAATTTCTCGTCAAAAACTTTGAAGGCTAGAAGGCAGTGGATTTATGTATTCCAAATGCTAAAAAACAAAACAACAAAACTCTGTCAATCAAGAATTCTATAACTAAAAAAAATTGACCTTCAAATGTGAGAGAGAAATTAAGACATTCTCAGATTTCAAAAAATCTGAAGGAGTCTATTACCCCTTGACCTGCTGTCTAAAGGGAGTCCTTCAGATTGCAAGGAAAAGAAGCCAGGCAGTAACTTAAAGCCACACAAAGAAATAAAGATCTCTAGTAAAGGTAAGTATATGGGCAATTATAGAAGCTAGTATTATTGTAATTTGGTTTATAACCACACTTTTAATTTTCTGCATGCTTCAAGAGGCAAGTGCATAAAAATAATCATTGAGCTGTGTTTTGTTAGTGCTGTCAAGTAAATCCCAACTCCTGGCAACCCTGTGTACAGCAGAGCTGAGCCCTGCTTGGTCTTGTAGCAACATCCTCTCGCCTTCCAGAGTTACATCAGACAAGCCTTCACTGATAATCATAGAATTTTCATGTTATTCATATTAATCTATGTTATTGGGCAAAAATATGTAAGTAATATGTAACATCAATGAGAAGAAAAGGCAGGGACAAAGCTGTGTAAGAGCAGAATTTTGGCATGCTATTAAAGGTAAGTTGCTATAAATTCAAATTATAACTTTAGGGTGTTAAATGGAATCTCTGTGGTAACCACAAAGAAAATATCTATAGAATATACACAAAAGGAAATGATAAAGGAATCAAAATGTTTTACTACAAAAAGAAATCAACTAAACACAAAATAAAGGCAGGATGGAGGAAATAAGAAACAAAAAGCTTTAAAGTATATAAAAAACAAATAGCAGAATGACAGTAGTAAGTCCCCCTTGTCAGTAATTACTTTAAATGTGAATGGATTAAACTCTACAATCAAAAGTCAGAGATTGACAGACTGAATTTAAAAGCATAATCCAAATACATGCTATCTATGAGAGATTCAATTTATTTTTTTATTTTTTTACTGAGGTAACATTGGTTTTAAAATTACATAAGTTTCATTGTATACCATTATATTTTGATTTCTGTATATATTCCATCATGTTCACCACCCAAAGACTAATTACCATCCATCACCACACACAAGTGCCCAGTCAGCCCTTTCACCTTCCTCTCTTCCCCATCCCCTCTGATAACCACCAATCTAATCTCTGTCTCTATGTGTTCGTTTGTTGTTGTTGTTGTCCTTCTTGTTATCTTCTATTTATGAGTGAGATCATATGGTATTTGACTTTCTCCCTCTGACTGTTTCACTTAGCATAGTACCCTCAAGTTCCAACCATGTTGTTGAAAGTGGCAAGATTTCATCATTTTTATGACTATTATTCCATCGCATACATATACCACATCTTCTTTATCTGTTCATCCCATAATGGGCACTTATGTTGTTTCTGAGTCTTGGCTATTCTGAATAAAGCTGTGGTGAACATAGGGGTGCACATATCTTTATGCATTCATCTTTTCATGTCCTTTGGATAGACACCCAGCAATGGAATAGCTGGATTGGATGGTAGTTCTATTCTTAATGTTTTGAGGAATCTCCTACTGTTTTGGATAGTGGCTGCAGCAGTTTTCTCTCTGACCAGCAGTGTATGAGGGTTCCCTTCTCTCCACATCCTGTCTAACACTTGTTTCCTGTCTCATTAATCATAGTAATTCTGTCAGATATGAGGTGATATCACAGTGTAATTTTGATTTGCATTTCCCTGATAGTTAATGATGATGAAGATCCTTTCATGTGCCTGCTGGCCATCTGTATATCTTCTTTGGAGAAATGTCTGTTCAGATCTTTTGCCCATTTTTTAATTGAGTTAGTTTTGCTGTTGTTCAGATGTATGAGTTCTTTGTATATTTTGAATATTAACCCCTTATCTGATACATGGTTTGCAAATATCTTCTGCCGATTGTTAGGCTGTCTTTTTGTTTTGTTGATGATTTCCTTTGCATTGTAGAGCTTTTTTGTTTAATGTAGTCCTATTTGTTTATTTTGTCTATTGTTTCTCTTGCCCAGTCAGACACAATACTTGAAAATATGCTGATAAGACTGTTACTGAGGAGTGTATTGACTGTGTTTTCTTCTAGAATTTTTATGATTTCAGGTCTTACATTCAAGTCTTTAATCCACTTTGAGTTAATTTTTGAGTATGATGAAATAAATTGGTCTATTTACATGCTTTTGCATATGGATGTCCAGGTTTCCCAGCACCATTTATTGGAGAGATTTTCCTTTCTCCATTTTATGTTCTTGGCTCCCTTGTCGAAAATGAGCTGTCCATAAATGTGTGGGTTTATTTCTGGGCTGTCGATTCTGTTCCATTGATCTGTGTGTCTGTTTCTGTGCCAGTACCATGCTCTTTTGGTTACTATGGCTTTGTAGTGTATTTTGAAATCAGGGAGTGTGATACCTCCAGCTTTGTTCTTTTTCTCACGACTCTTTTGGCTATTCAGGGTCTTTTGTTGTTCCATATAAGTTTTAGGATTCTTTGTTCTATTTCTGTGAAAAAATGTTGTTGGAACTTTTTTTTTTTTTTTTTTAGGAAGATTAGCCCTCAGCTAACTACTGCCAGTCCTCCTCTTTTTGCTGAGGAAGCCTGGCTCTGAGCTAACATCCGTGCCCATCTTCCTCTACTTTATATGTGGGACGCCTACCACAGCATGGCTGCCAAGCGGTGCCATGTCCGCACCTGGGATCCAAACCAGCCAACCCCAGGCTGCCAAGAAGCGGAACGTGGGAACTTAACTGCTGCGCCACCGGGCCGGCCCCTGTTGTTGAAACTTTGATGGAGATTGCATTGAATATGTAGATTGCTTCAGGAAGTATAGACATTTTAATTGTGTTAATTTTTCCAATTCAAGAGCATGGAATATCTTTCCATTTCTTTGTGTCTCTCTCAATTTCTTTCAACAATGTTTTATAGTATTCTGTGTACAAATCTTTCACCTCTTCAGTTAAGCTTATTCCTAGGTATTTTATTCTTTTTGTTGCAATTGTAAATGAGATTGTATTCTTAATTTCTCTTTCCACTACTTCATTGTTGCGTTCTAGAAACACAGCTGATTTGTATGTTGATTTTGTATCCCTCAACTTTACCATATTCATTTATTATTTTTACAAGTTTTTTGGTGGATTCTTCGGGGTTTTCTATTTACAAAATCATGTCATCTGCAAACAGTGACACTTTCACTTCTTCCTTTCCAATTTGGATCCCTTTTATTTCACTTTCTTGCCTGATTTCTTTGCCTAGGACTTCCAATACTTTGTTAAATAAGAGTGGTGAAAGCGGGTGTCCTTGTCTGGTTCCTGCTGTTAGAGGGATAGTTTCAGATTTTCCCCACTGAGAATGATATTAGCTGTGGGTTTGTCGTATATGGCCTTCAATATGTTGGGATACTTTCCTTTTATACCCATTTTATTCAGAGTTTTTATCATACACTGATCTGTATCTTGTCAAATTCTTTCTCTGCAGCTATTGGGATGATCATGTAATTTTTATTATTCATTTTGTTAATGTGGTGTATCATGTTGATTCATTTGTGGATATTGAACCATTCTGCATCCCTGGAATCAATCCCACTTGATCATTATGTATGATCTTTTTAATGTATTATTGTATTCTATTTGCTAGTATTTTTTTGAGGAATTTTCATTGATATTCATCAGTGATATCAGCCTGTAATTTTCTTTTTTGTGTTGTCCTTGTCTGATTTTGGTATCAGGATAATGCTGGTTTTGTAGACTGAGTTAGGAAACTTGCCCTCCTCTTCAATTTTTTTGGAACAGTTTGTGAAGGATAGGTATTAAGTCTTATTTGGATGTTTGGTAGAATTCACCAGGGAAGCCATCTTGTCCTCAACTTTTATTTTGAAGGAGGTTTTTGATTTCTGTTTTGATCTCCTTGCTGGTGATTGCTCTATTCAAATTTTCTCCTTCTTGATTCAGTTTTGGAAGGTTGTATGATTCTAAGAATTTATCCGTTTCTTCTAGATTATCCAATTTGTTAGCATACAGCTTTTCATAGTATTCTCTTATAATCTTTTGTATTTCTGAGGTGACCATTATATTATCTCTTTCATTTTTGATTTTATTTATTTGAGCCTTCTCTCTTTTTTTCTTGGTGACTCTATCTAAAGGTTTGTCAATTTTGTTTATGATTTCAAAGAACCATCTCTTTGTTTCATTGATTTTTTTCTATTTGTTTTTAGTCACTATTTTATTTATTTCTGCTCTGATTTTTGTAATTTCCTTCCTTCTACTGATTTTGGGCTTTGTTTGTTCTTCTTTTTCTGCTTCATCTAGGTGCACTGTTAGATTGTTTATTAGAAATTTTTCTTGTTTGTGGAGGTAGGCCTGTATTGCTATAAACTTCCCTCTTACTGCTGCTTTTGCTGTATCCCATAAATTTTGCCATGTTGTATTTTCATTTTCATTTGTCTCTTGGTGTTTTTTTATTTCTCCTTTGATTTCTTCATTGACCCAATATTTGTTCAGTAACATTTTGTTTAATCTCCACATATTTGTGGCTTTTCCAGTTTTATTTCTGTAGTTGATTTCCAGTTTCATACCATTGTGGTCAGAAAAGGTGCTTGATATTATTTCAATCTTCTTAAACTTATTGAGACTTGTTTTGTGGCCTAATATGTGATTTATCCTGGAGAATGTTCCATGTACATTTGAAAAGAACATTTATCCTGCTGTTTGGGGATGAAATGTTCTGTACATATCTACTAAGTCTATTGGTCTAATATATCATTTAGGGCCAGGTTTCCTCATTGACCTTCTGTTTGGGTGACCTATCCATCAATGTAGTCAGAGTATTAAAGTCCCCTACTCTTTTATTATTTTGTTACTCTCTATTTCTCCTCTATGTCCGTTAATAATTGCTTTATATATTTAGGTGCTTCTACATTGGGTGTATAGACATTTACGTGTTAAATCCCCTTGTTGGGTTGTTCCCTTTATCATTATGTAGTGCCCTTCTCTGTCTCTTGCTACAGTTTTTGCTTTAAAGTCTATTTTGTCTGATGTAAGTATTGCTATCCCAGCTTTCTTTTCATTGCTATTTGCGTGGAGTAACTTTTTCCATCCCTTCACTTTCACTTGTGAGTGTCTTCAGGTCTGAAGTGTGTCTCTTGTACGCAGAATATATATGGGTCTTGTTTTCAAATCTAATCAGCTACTCTATGCCTTTTGTTTGGAGCATTTAGTTCATTGACATTTAAAGTAGTTATTGATAAGAATGTAGTTATTGCCATTTTGTTACTTGTTTTCTGGGTGTTTTAGTAGTTCTTCTCTGTTCCTTTCTTCTTCTCTTGTTCTCTTCCCTTGTGGCTTGATGGCTTTCTTTAGTCTTATCTTTGGGTTCCTTTCTCTTACTTTTTGGGGATTTATTATAGGTTTCTGTTTTGTGACTACCATGAGGTTCATATATAACCTACGTGTATAGCAATCTATATTAAGTTGATGCTCTCTTAAGTTTGATCTCTTGCTAAAAGCTCTACTCTTTTACTCCCCTCCTCCTACATTTTATGTTTTTGATATCACATCTAACCTCTTTGTGTGTGTGTATCTGTTACCCTCTTATCATGAAAGTAGAT